CAGAAGCTTGTTCTTTCTCCCATTTATTCCTATGCGCAAAGAGCAACAAACACGTTTGTCGCCTGCAGTGCCCTGAGAATAGTTGCTCATTTCTACTGCATGATTTGTGTTTCTGTGTGTAAGTTCTTAATGAAGAAGAGCCAGCTAAGCTCCACTTTCTTTGGGAAGCAGGAAACTACCATGCCTGTTCCTGTATACAGCTCAACACAGAAATCTGGGAAAAACATTACTTTTCTAACTGAAGAACGTCACATTTCTGAGTTGTGAAACGGGTGGGAAATCAATCAGTCTCCTAAGAGAAACCATCCGTGAAGTTGGTGACTTTCCAGCTGAAGGTGCAGGGAATGTGCAGAAGCTTGTTCTCTCTCTCATTCACTCCTATGGGCAAAGAGCCACAACCTCGTTTGTAGGCTCCAGTGCCCTGAGGAGAGGTGCTTGTTTATAGTGCATGATTTGTGTTTCTACGTGTGAGTTCTTAATGCAGAAGAGCCAGCTAAGCTCCAGCATCTTTGGGAGGCATGGCATTCCAATGCCAGTTCCTCTACACAGCGCACCACAGAACTCTGGTAAAACCTCACTTTTGTAACTAAAGTACTTCACAGTTCCACGCTGAGAAAAGTGTGACAAATCATTCAGTCTCCTAAGAGAAAGCATCCGTGAAGTTTGTGACTTTCCAGCTGGAGTTGCCCTGGAAATTCAGAAGTTGTTCTCTCTCTCATTCATTCCTAAAGGCAAAGAGCCACAAACACTTTGTAGACTCCAGTGCCGTGAGGCGAGCTGCTTGTTTCTACTGCATTAATTGTGTTTCTAAGTGTGAGTTCTTAATGCAGAACAGCCAGCTAAACTCCAGCTTCATTGATAAGCAGGACCCTCCCATGCCTGTTCTTGTATACAGTGCAACAGAGAACTCTGGCAAAAACGTCACTTATGTAAGTGAAGAACTTCACAGTTCTGAGCTGTGAAACGCGTGGCAAATCATTCAGTCTCCTAAGAGAAAGCATCCGTGAAGTTTGTGACTTTCCAGGTGGAGGTGCATGGAAAGTGCATATGCTTGTTCTCTCTCCCATTCACTCCTATGTTCAAAGAGCCACAAACACTTTTGTAGACCCCAGTGCCCTGAGGAGAGCTCCTTGCTTCTACTGCATGATTTGTATTTCCAAGTGTGAGTTCTTAATGCAGAAGTGCAAGGTAAGCTCCAGCTTCTTT